TTATTATTCGTACATTGCAAAAAAAGCCTGAAAATGTGGCTGCAGAGGTAACCCTGCTACAGCCCTGCTGCTTCCCAGGTCTGGTAATCCCGCTGTGGTAGTGACAGGGACACGAATTACTTGTTCTGGGTCTTGGTTGTTGGGCGGCAGGCTCTGATTTTACGCCTATGATGTTTGGGGTACCCCAGCAGCCTTCCTGGAAAGGGCTGATACCCTTGCTTACCGGGCTGTAAACTAAAATGCGGCCTGCTTTAAACTGCAGGCTCTCCCCTCTGGGGCTGCTGTAGGACAGTGTTCGTTCCCGGTGACCAAAAAGGGACCCAGTGAATCCAGGGAAATGGGAGACATGGGGTGACTCGAGGGACCCAGAGGAGCTGGAAGGGTTTCACATTAACACACGGGGATACAGAGATCCGAAACCAGCTGCAAAAGCAAAAGGCAGCTACGGTAAAGCCGAATGCTTCTCCTCTTTTCCCCGCGCTCGAGCCGTGGGGAATTGCCATCAGCTCCGACACCTGATGCCGAGGTAAGCCCTGGCAGTGCTGCAAAGCTGGTTTGGGAGCCCAGCCACGCCATCTTCCCTGAAGTCACTTCCTTGCCTCATTCATTTAATCCGGTTTAACAGCTATCGCGCCGCACGCCCTTCTGGAGCCCCGGGGAGACGGGCTGGCTGCCCGTCCTCTGCCCAGAAACGCAGCCGCCTCGGCGGGGCAGCTGCCTCCCACCTGGCTCTCCCCTTCTTCCCGGGGCTCTGCTTTCCTTCCAGCCTCCCGAAGGACCGGACCGGCAATCCCAGAGGCTCTCCGCAGGGATGCCGGGGCTCCGCCGCAGTGCCGCACGCAGCACAGCACATCACCCACCTTTGCAGGCTGTCCCCAAATGTTGCCCACGTTTGCTGACCCCCGCGAATGGGGCTGTGGGGCTCCCGTGGCCCCCGGCAGAGCCGTGGCAAAGCACTCGGGCTCAACCAAGAGGCCAAAGCAGCCGAAAAATGAGGGCTCGCTCCTTGCTGACAGCACACAGATCCAGAGGAGATGTTCCAAACAAGCCAGAAAAGGAGCGAGCAAGAGGGAAGCTCCCCTCCTTTCTTCTCTACTCTCCAAAAATGCCCATTTTCCCCAAAACACTACATTCCCTCGCCATCATTTCCCATCCAAACCATGCCCCACCGCCTGGACCCTTTGGGTTTTTCTTTTTAAGGGAGACAGCCCAGAAGGAGAGGCAGATGCTGGCCTCCTCGCTGCTGCGGGGCGCAACTCGGAGCCACCCCTGGGCTGCTCCAGCCAGCTGGGGAGGGTCCCGATCCCCTGGGTCCCGCAGTTCCCCGCTCCCTCCGGCAGCTGCCGAAAGTCCCTCTCCGTTTTTAAGAAGTCTGGTGGGCAGCTGATGCCGTCCCTTGTCCCCGGGGGTGGCTTCTCCCTTGCTCCTCTTCAGCAGCTTGATTTCCAGATGGAAATGCAGACGAAAAGACCCGCCTGGCGCTTTCTCGCAGCAGCGGGTTTCCGGCTCTGCTCCACAGTATGGAAATAAAAAGTCATTAAGGGTCGGCACAGACAACGAAATTACACTTTGCCAGCTTGTTTTTAAGCCGAGCAGACGTCGATTGAGCTGAAGAGAGTCAAATTTATTTGGCTTTTGTAATGGCTCCTGCGTGATGCTAATAAAAGCAGTGTTTTGTGCCGGCTCACGGCTCGGGATACAGAGAGATTCATGGCCCTCCCTGTCCTCGCAGAGCTCTAATTAAGACCCTTTTCTCACCCGAAAGAATGAATTGCTTTTTTTCGTTTTCTGGGCTGGGGGGGCAGCAGCGGCTGGGGGTAACCCGTGGCCAGCAGCTCAGAAGTTGGGCCCGGCCAGCACGCCCCGCTCGGGGGGCTG